TTTTAGGCATCTTAAAGTCCAGCAACAGGGAGGTAAAGAGGAACATTCAGACTATCTTAAGCCAGGAATCCAAAAGAGGTGAAATTAGTTTATTTCTTCCTGCAGAGCCATCCCACCCCGTGAGGATGTGCAGCCCGTGTAAAGGAACCTGCCAGCCCTGGAAGGTCTCTGCAGCCAAGCAGTAAGGACCTTGCTCAAAGCCAGCCCCTGAGTGGGTGGGTGCCAGCCCAGGTACTGCCACAGCCCCCCAAGAGCTTCTCCCTGCTCTTGTGCCAGCCAGGAACCAGGGCTGATGTCTGGCTCAGGATGCAACCATGGCACAGCAACTCCACTGGGCACTGAGCCCTCCTGCCAGCAGCAAATGCTTGTGCATGGCCCTGCCAACGGCCGGCAGAGCCACTGGAAGAATGAGAGGAAAGAATACGACAGCTCCCCACATTCCCTGTCCCATCACCCACTGCCAAAACACACCCTGCATCCTTGCCTCCCCCTGCCGTGAGTGGGGACCGGCACAGAGCAAGAGCTGCCTGGGCTGGTTGCTCCAGGGACAATCCCCCCACTCTGCTCCCAGGGGATAAAGAGCACCAGGGGAGTTTGGAGGGGTCAGCAGTACCCACGCATTTTAGGCAGGTCCCCAGAGGTGACCATGCACCTGTAGTGTCCCAGAGAGAGCGGCGGCTGCTCTTTAGGAGGGAAGGAGCCCCTGAGGGCAGCGAGGGCTGGAGGAAGGGGAGCTGCCTCGCTGCTCCAGCACCAGCTGCAAAAACTGGCCACTCAGGCTCATGTGCCAGTGGTTGGCTCTTAATTACAGACACAGCTAATAAAGGGAAGGAGCTCAGCTTTTTAGTTCATGGGAAGCAGACTTGTCTGAGAACCAGGGGGACTGCAAAACAGGAGACACAAGAAATCCCCAATATCTCTGGGCCATCAGCCCAACACATGGATCCTTAATGGCTTTTGCTGATTTGACAGATGCAAGACACAGAAAAATGAGCAAATTTGTGGCTGCAGATATCCCTGGGGCTCAGAGATGCTTCTCAGGATACAGATCTTTAAATCATTGTTAACAGTGTCATGAAGGGGCACTGGAGAAGCCAGAGTCGGGCACAGCGATACAGGAGGTGAGAGCAGTTTTCTGGCACTCCCCACGCATCTCTCCCTGCCGGGGGATGCAGCGATGCTTCATTTCAATCAATCATGCACAAAGTGAGTGCAGTGACAGGGTGCTGCAGCTCCCATGAGCTGCAGGGAGCTGAGGCTGGTTCTGTGGGGAGCTGTAGCATCTTGGATGGGATCCATGTGTGAAGGTGGGAGAGCTGGGCAGCTTTTGGAGGCATCAGTATTTTTTCAGAAAAGGAGGAGAAGCATTCAGAGCTCTGGAGAAGCCCAGATCTGGGGAGTGTCTGCAACCTGCTCCTGATGTCCCAAAGATCTTAGTGCACAGACAGCAGAACATCTCCTTTGGGAATTTAAGCTTTGTCTTTGGATTTCCTCTGGATGAGGTGGGAGCAGAAAGTTTCAGGGCTCTGCTGGGCCCCTGGCAGCTGCTGAACAGACTCTGGGGACTGCCTGAGTGCACACCTGGCCCAGCCCAGCTCTCCACTGGCTGCCTGCAGCCTCTCCATGCAGGCAGCACCGACCTGGGAGCTCCCGTCTGCAGAGCCCTGGGAAACTCATCACACTCCCTGCAGCAGGCAGACCCCTGCCCACAGGCCAGCTGGCTCCTGTGTTCCTATAAAGCTTTAAAAGAAGCTAAACAACTCGCAACTGAAAGCACTGGGTGTTTATTTGCACTTTAGACATATTAACTCCATCCAAAAGCCCGCCGTGGCTCCCTTTCCGCAGCAGCAAAGGTGGGTCTGTGCGAGGAGCAGCTAACTGCCATAAACATCGGGCTTTGGTCCAAACAGCACAATGTCCGTGGGTCGGCGCTTTCCCAGCATGGGCTGGTTTTAACTCACAATCCACTTCCTTCAGCGGAGCTGCAAGATCGGCTGTTGCAAATCACGTTGCTGCTTTCCCAAGGACCGAAACATTCAAGCTGTACATGGTGGGGAACACCAAGAGCAAAAACTCGAAGCAGAGGTCCCCGTGGTCCCCCCAGTAATGACACAAGGACTGCCCTCACCTTCGACTCTTGCCTTCCCAAGCCTTCAAACCAGCGTTGTCTCTCTTTTTTTCCATGTCTAATTTTTAATAGACATGTCTAATCCCCTTGCATAGCTGGATGCAAGAGAAAGACGCAGCCACCCACCTGAAGATTTCAATACTCTCCTGGGTTTTGCCTGCTGCAAGCAGTAGTTCAGGCTACTGCAGACCTTTGCCTTGCAAAAAAAACCCAACCAACATCTTCCAGAAACTTTAAAATTCCAATTTGTTGTTGGCTGCTATATAGTCTTCCGAAAGAGAGTGAGTAATGCTAAAATTCTTTTTTCTTCTGTAAAGGAGTTGGGAAGTAGAGGATAACACAGATCCTGAAGCAGCTCAGTCACCCAGGAACAACTAACCCAGGCACTGGCACAGCTTAGTCATACATTTAAAACCTGATATTTTTAGAAATATTTCAATTTCCGGAGCACTTCCCCCCTGCAAAAATTCACAATTCCTGCGACACATGTAGTTAATTACTGGTGCTCTCTCCTGAGGTGAAGGAGGGAATCCTGCCTCAAACCCATGTCCAGTGGGGCAGAGGGGATTCAGCAGGGGGACAAGGCATTGTTTGTGCCCATCCCTTATTCATTGAGAAGCAAGATGATCGACCGGGGAGCTGGGGGGATGTTAACCAGCTCAGACCGCGGCATTGGACGCTGGACTGAGAAATACTTCAGGACTGGAGTAAATGCAACATTTCTCTTTCTGTCTCCAGGTGTACTGCAGGCAAAGTGGTTGGGTTGGGTAGCTTTGCTCTAAAACCTCGTCCCTGTTTGCTCTCTGCTGCTGGCAGCTCTGTCTATCCCTTGTGTGAGATTGGAGCCAGCAATGCTGCAGTCACCATCTCTCTGCAAACAGGCATCAGGGTGTGGGAGCTGCTCCGGAGAGGGGGCCAAGCGCAGACTGAAGTGGTGCATCCTTTGGAGGGGGTGTTGGGAACCTCAGAGCTCATCAGAAGCCTCCTCCTCACAAAGAATGATGCTCATCTTCTTCTCATCCACCTGGGAAGAAGTTTTCATCCTAAAGGTGGACCCCAGGGACTGGCTGGCTCTTTGGCGGATGCTCCTCATGCGTGACGTGCAGTCTTCGCTGGTCATCACGTAGAGCAGGGGGTTGAGGGCACTGTTGAAGCTGGCCAGACCCCGGGTCACCTGGTAGCAGACATAGATGTTCTTTAAAGTCTGTGTGCAAGAGCCTTGCAGCTGCCAGCCTCGAGACAGCAAGTTGAGGTTTCTGAAGATGTGGTATGGGAGGAAGCAGATGGAGAAGAGGACCATCACAAGGACCACCAGTCTGATGCTTCTCCTCCTGAGGCCGAGGTCCACGGTGTTGTTCCTGCAGAGCACCACCACCACGTGGCCGTAGCATCCGATGATGATGAGGAACGGGATGGCGAACCCTGTCACAGTGACAGCTGCAGTGTACGGCAAGTAAACACCCAGGTTCTCGTGCCCCGTCGTGTCATGGCACCGTGTCCCTGTGTCGTCCATCTTGCTAAAGGCCAAATCGGGAGCCACCTGCGCGATGACCCACACCCAGACCATAGCACTGAGCCATGCCGAAGAGGTGATCCCCTGGCACCTGCCCCGCGCCTTCAGCGGGTGCACGATGCCCAGGTAGCGGTGGACGCTGATGCAGGTGAGGAAGCCGATGCTGGCGTAGAGGTTGAGGTGGAAGAGGCCACGCGTGAGCCGGCACCAGCCCTGCCCGAAGAGCCAGGCTCTGCCCCGCAGGTAGTAGCTGACGAGGAAGGGCAGCGTGCTG